CTTTGTTAACATGAGTAGAAACAACTCGAACTCCCCAAGTGTTCTGAAATGGAATGGTAAAACCATAACCGATTTACCTACTATAGTGAATTTATTTGCTGACCATTTCGAAAGTATGTATAGTCGTACCTCATTCGCTGCCTCCAATAGTCACCATATCAATCCTGTTATGACTGGGGTTTCTTTCGGTATCTCTGAAATTAGCTATGGCGAAATGGTGGAATCCTTCAATAGATTTAAGGCAAAAAATACAACCGGGCCAGATGGCATTCCTGCATTTATAGTTAAAGACTGTGCACCTGCATTTCTGCGACCACTGCAACATATTTTCAATCTAATTGTAAGGAACTCTGAATTTCCAGAAACCTGGAAATTGAGCAGAATTTGTCCTGTTTTCAAAAAAGGTGATAGGTGCCGTGTGATCAACTATCGGCCAATAGCTATTATAAGCTGTTCGAACAAATCGTAGCATACAAGATGGAATTCTACACCAAAGCACGAATGTCTGAACATCAATATGGTTTCTGCAAAGGTAGATCCACAGCCACTAACCTGTTGAGTTTTACCGAATACGTAGAAAAATAGCGTTACTAGTGGCGTACCTCAAGAATCCATACTTAGCCCTCTACTGTTCAATATTTTTGTGAATGACTTACCAATGAGCTTTAGCGCGAATGCCCTATTGTACGCAGATGATCTGAAGTTGTTTACTACTATTGGTAGTGAACAGGATTGCATTTCACTTCAGTTGGACTTAAATAAACTCTATTCGTGGTGTACTACTAATAGATTGATTCTGAATACTTCCAAATGTCAGGTAATGACATATAGCCAGAAACGTAACACCATCAATTTTGATTATGAACTTGGGACTGACTGCCTATCGCGCATTTCTGTGGTGAGGGATCTCGGTGTATGGTTCGACACTGGTTTGTCTTTCAATGTACATGTTGACAAGACGTCGACGAACGCCCTCAGAACACTTGGATTTATAACGAGAAATAGTTTGGAATTTGCTCATATAAACACAATAATAAAACTCTACTTTACACTCGTAAGAAGCAAACTTGAATATTGCTGTATTGTTTGGTCACCATCTTATTTAAGGTACATCACCACCATCGAGAGGGTACAACGTAAATTTGTTAGATTCATGCATTTCCTGGACTTTGGTCATTATCCGCCTCGAGGGGAATTGAACTATCCATATCTCTCACATCGTTATGGACTCCAGAGCCTTGAAGACAGAAGGAAGTGTATGTCAGCAAGATTTGTTCGGGATGTGATGTCGGGTGTGGTGGTTGCATCGGGTGTTTTGTCGCAATTGAATATAAAAGTTCCGAGGTTTGGTGCTCGTGACTTTAATGTTTTTACTACCAATCGCGGTCACACAAATATTGGACTAAATTCCCCATTCAACAAATTAATGCGAGCTGCTAATACGACCGAATGTGTATCATTCTTCGATGTTTAACTTAGCAGTTTGTTAAATTGTTGTCATTTGATTTTTCATTTTTCATCTTTCATTTTCTTTTTGTTTGTATATATTTACTTCTTATTATGTCAATTAATGTACGTTCATAGGCTTAATTATGTTGTTTATAATATTATCTCTCTTTTTTGAAAACAAATTTCTGTTGGGATAATAAAGTTATTATTATTATTATAATTATTATAATAAGTTAAACATCTGAAAGCGAATGTTCAGGCTTACATTCCTGCAAAATTAAAACCAATTCTAGTAAAAATAGATCAAAGCAAAAAAGTCATCCACCTTCGATTGTACAAAATATGCATGCAAAATCATGATAACCGTGTATCACAATCATGCAGTACCCAAGCACCAGTAGAACAAAGCCCATTAATTATTTATGTTATTTTATACTACAAACTTGCATTCAATAAAAATTCGCAATCTTGAGAAATTTTGTTACTTTCTTTGAGATGTTTAACTAAATTCTGAAGACGCGCATTCTTTATGCGCAGCATTTTCAGTTGCCTGTTTTTGGCGTCTATCTGTTTCTTGCTTATTGACCACATTACTTTGGCTCTTTTGGGACATTCCAAGTCCTGCTCTTCAAAATCGCCCAAATACATCCGTCTCTTTTCCCTATAATTGACTATGCTTCACAGTTTCATCTGTTACTCTTACACACATAGATTCAAAGTCTTTGATTGTAAACTAAAAGTCAGGTTAGGTTAAGTATCAAAGATAATACCTACCAAAATAATGATTATAGGACATTCAAAATAAAAAATAAATGAACTTTTAGTATTCGTATCTATGCAAAAATACCTTGGCATAGGCTGAACAGACGATGATGTTGACGGCAAAGGTTCTTCGG